TGGGTTGCTGAGCAATAACCAATAGAAACACGTAAGAAATGAAACATTGTAAGCAGTGACCTTATTGGTCAATTTATGATTGGTCAATAAATTTATGATTGGTCAATAAATACACATAGAAAAACGAATGAGATATATTTTGTACTCTATTGTTTCTCAGGTGAAATACGTCAAAGGTTATAAAAGTTTTTTTCCTTTGTTATAAAACTGTTCACATTCGCCAATAAAAAAAAATTCAAATCACTTCCTCTGTCCCATAATAGTTGTTACATTCAATGTACGAAATATGTATGCATATGTAACAACTATTATAGGACAAAAAATTGTATATTTACTACATATGTCACATAATATTTGTTATGTTTAGTGTACGAATTTTGTAGTAATTATGACAGAAAGTACTAATTACTATCTCTGTATTATTTGTTATTTTTTTTAATGTATGGTGCGTGTTTGCAAATACAGCAACTACCAAGGGACAGAAGTATTAAAATATTTTCAGACCCATAACAATTGGTACATGAGGGCAGGTCGATTTTGGAACCGTGGTATTGCACTCAATTTGAAAGTTGGGGGTTTAACATGATAAATAGTGTCACAATATATTTTCCCAAATCGTTGCCATTTTTTGAGGAAATGAGTTCAAAGATTATGTGTAGGTTCAAAATCGTAGCGTTGCAATTTAATTCCGGTGATCAGTGAAAGCCTTATAACATTTATAATTTACTGAATCTTGACAAAATGTATATGGACAAATTTAAAACATTTTGTCTTATAATTTGTGCCCAGCGGTATTATGGTGTTATCAATGTTTGTTTTTATTAATTATGATCTAAAATTATCTAACAAATTTTATTCATTGAGTGGCCTTTTTGTAATCTTTTACAATTCTTTACGGTTTTAACTTATCAAATAATAAGCTGAGGAGGCACGATGGAGTAATGGATAACTGCTCGGATTAAGAGCCGAGTTCGAATTCCAGTCGATTCCATTACTTTCCTTGGGAAAAGTTATGAATCCTCTTCTTCCCCCCACCAGCTATGGGTAAATAGCAGGACAGACCAGGTTTTATAGCCTTGGATGGCAACTGGCCTACATCAGAAAGAAATGGCAACCTACTGCAGGAAAATTCTGCCTCGAAAGATTCATGATCGCCTAAGCATGGCATATGACTGACTGACTTATCTAATACAGTAAAAACTTACATATTTTGCTTGTGGTGATATACAATTAGAATTCATATTTGAATATATTTTCAATTTAATGTATCTATTACAAAAATATTAACTTTATTTGGATTTATTCTTGAAGGAGTAAAATTTTGAAGTCAGCTGCTAAAATTAAGTATTTCTGTACAATTTTTCAGAAAATTTTTAAAACTAAATGCTCAAGAATTGGTAAAAGCTATGAATCTAATTTTTGGCGTCAATACTTATCACATAGCTTTCAAACAGAGTGCGATGTTGCTTTTCTAAACAAAGCAAAAAAATGAACCTTCCCTATGGATACATTCACTTAAGAAATGTCTATGCAAAAGTTACAATTATTATGGGACAGAAATAATAAAAATACTACCCCAGTCCCGTAACAACTGGTATATTTAGTGTATAAATTGTGTATGCAAATGTAATAAATATTATGGGATAGAAACAGTATGTTTATGTTACGGAAAATCAAGTTATTGTATAGGCTGTAAAATATTTCAATTTCTATTAATTTCACCATAAAACAACGAATACAAACTGTATCAAAATTATCCCTCTACTGTTAAATTTAAACTCCTACATTCGATATTGTCAATGGGTCTTTTTAGAAAAAAAAGGTTATGTATGGTGACCCATCGTCAAGATACGATTTCAGAGGTACAGATGTTAATCAAATGCTTTTCTGAAGAGTGGAAATTTGTTTAAACATAAAGAAACTTCATCAGACACTAAAGTTAAACATAGACAATATAAATGTTGACATTTTTTGAATAAAAAGGTATCAATTTTGCCAGAAAAGATACGGCAAAGATATGGCAAGGAGTAAAAACGAATGGTATAAATAAAATGCAACGTCACATCGAATTCGCGGGGCAGATAACTTCACAAAATGGCGTCCTACACAAGACAAGGTATAGTGAATTCACTGACAGTTTTATGTTTGCTTTTTTTTTTTAATTAAAAACAATGAACAGAACATAAAGAGAAGCAAATAATACATATTGCTGAGGCATGCAAATAGACAAGCATATGAGGTGGATAAGATTATTATTAATGAAAGGAAAGAAAATAACTGCAGGGTAGTCTTAGTTGCTAAACACAGAATATTAACAATTTCAGCATTCTAATATTTAATTTGGCTTTTACATAACATTTTTGTGTTTCCTCGCAATATATGCACATACAGAAATGGACACTCTTTAACCTCTGTGCCTACAAATAAAACGGTGTATCAAAAAGATGGTTTTTCCCTTGACACTGCTATTATATAGTTTCATTATTAAATTTGGTCTAAA